ATAGTGAATCAAATAGATTAATTATAACATTTATTTTAAAAATTATTATTTTTTTAAATTTAAATTTTAGGTATTTAACATACAGTGCAGTATTGGTTTCTGGAGTGGAATTCAGTGGTTTATCCCTTACATACAACACCCAGTGCTCATCAGGACAAGTGTACTACTTACTACTTTTTAACTCTGCAGCAGAGGCATGGTTGGGGCAAGTCAGATAGGCAAACTCATAGTAAAATAATAAAAGCAATAACAATAACTGACATGTATTGTTACTAATAGGTAGGATCTGCTTTGATGCTTTCTGTATATTAACTCATTTAATCTGCACAACAACCCCAGGAGGTAGGACTGTTATTCTCATTTCATAGATGAGGAAATTAAGGCACTGAGAAATTAAATGATATATGCAAGGTTGCACAACTTGCATGGAGCTGAGATTTGAACCTAGGTAGTCTGATTTTTTCCACTGAAATAAATGTGGGTGGAAGGCGGTTATCTTTGAGTTGGTAGATAATATCATTAAAAAATAATGTTCTGGGGCGCCTTGGTGGCTCAGCTGGTTAAGTGTCCGACTCTTGATTTTGGATCAGGTGATGATCTCAGGGCTGTGAGATCGAGCTCCGCCTCGGGCTCTGCACTGGGCGTGGCATCTGCTTAAGATTCTCTCTCTCCCTCTTCCTCTGCCCCTCCCCCCCTTAAAAAATAATAATGTTCTATCCCTTGAAAGATGGAAAATGGGTAAGGAAATATTTCATACATAAATGATGAATCAAGTTAGCCTTCATTCTAGTAAGAATAAGATATTAATTCAATATAAACATGTAAAAAGTTGTGACTTTTTTGTGACACTGTTTAATCCTTTCATCACGTTGATCACTTTGGTTATTCTTGGTGATGCCTTCATAAGTTTTAGGAAATTAAAAAAAAAAATCATCTCCTAAATCAGTCTGACTTATCTTGGCTAACTGATCTCTTCTGCTTTGAGATCCAGAATGCTCATTCATGTTGAGGTAGGGAAATGCTACTGGGAAAAAAGAATGGACATTTTAATTCTCTCTATATTTTCAGGTAAACCTAAACCATCCAGGGAGAAATTAGCACTCATTCTTTTTTTTTTTTTTTTAAAGATTATTTATTTATTTATTTGACAGAGGGAGACAGCGAGAGAGGGAACACAAGCAGGAGGAGTGGGAGAGGGAGAAGCAGGCTTCCTGCCGAACAGGGAGCCCGATGCGGGGCTCGATCCCAGGACCCTGGGATGGAGCCCGATGCGGGGCTCGATCCCAGGACCCTGGGATGGAGCCCA